AGTGATGAGTCATCACACAGTTACTCGAAACGGCCTCTTCCGATGCGCCCGTCGCTTAATGGCAGACTGCCATTGGCAGTTCTTCTCTTGAACAGGAAAAAATCTTCTCGTCTTTCGGAGTCCTACCCTCGTCGATACTTGTCATGCCACCTCATGAACCACATATCTATTATTCCAGCTCGAAAGTATTTTATTTGACTCTGCTATGGAATAGTCAATCGAATGCATTTGAACTATGGGTCGGCATCACTGGCTCAGCCTTCTTACTACCGCGCCTTAGCTCTGCAAGGTGACGGTTCCATGACAACGCCTCCAATCCAAGCTGGCGCCTTATTTTGTTTTCATCAAGTTGCCCGCGACAACATTTGCATGCTCTACAGGAACAAAGTCACTACCTGTGGACTGGATTGTCACGGCCATAACGTGATGTCCTGACAAATAGGCGATAGCGGCAAGAGAGTTGTCTGAGTTACTGTACATGATAACGCTTCTTAGATCCTGCTGCTGGGTTTAGAACATGGCACCCTCCTCTCGTGTGCATACTGACCTGATTTTGACAGGCTGATTTTGCAGCAGGTCTTGATTTTGACCTGCTGCTCGAAACTTGGGATATTATTGTAAAGTTTTGAGTTTCGAGATCGGGAGTAGGCCTCTAATACTCTCGGGAGTCAACGAGGACGAAGTTTCGCTGACAAAACTTACCTGAGGCGAGAAGCGCCAAGCACAGTCCGATGCTGAGCTATTGGAATATTGCAAGCTCACAGTTGCATCATATCCGCGTCGTGAGCGATCTTGAAGTACCCCCCCATCTTGAAGTATTCCCCGGCGGGGAATCCGATTCGTCGTCCTCCTCTAGCGCAGCGTGAGCTTGTGGACAGAAAAGGTTATCCTCGGAGGGGAGGGACGCTGGCGTGGTCCTCGCGGTGCTTCTGGGGGGTTTCATTCATGTGGAAGACCGACAAGACAGATGGATCGCAGGGCGTTCCTGTATTTTCAGCCAACACTCGAAACGTACTTGAGCCGCAGGAATCCTGGAATCACCAGTTTTTCGCAACTCCGGCTTAGGCGAACCGCCTCAGTTGACTTCGAGCTTGCGATGAAAGGGAATTGCCTCTCGTAAGGGGCGAGCCCCGAGCTTTCCTCGCTATGTTCAGCGACAAGCCTACTTTTAAACCCTCTCGTAGTATCGACAGTTTGGCTGAGTGGTTTTAGGCGCTAGTTTTAGGCGCTAGTTCGAAAGGGCGCGAGTTCGAATTTCATAGTTGTTATGATGCACACAAATCATCTATTACTCTGGAATATCGATACTAGCGAAGTCTGTGAGGGTAGTGCCTCATGCTACAGCGTGAGCCGCATTTGCACTATGCTGATCAGAGAGAATAGTTCTTGGTGTCGCTGTTGAAGAGTTCATCGAATGCATGAGAACTCTGGGTCCGCGTTGCTGAGTCAACGACTCAGGCTACAAGCACGAAGACCTGTTTTCACCCGAACAAAGCGTCTGTAGAGGACACGCAAAAGTTTGTGATTGTGGTCTCGTGGCCTAATGGATAAGGCGTTGGTCTTCGGAACCAAAGATTGTGGGTTCGAGTCCCGCCGAGATCGTAGTTAGCTATGTCAATATTTGCTGCGTAATGCTGTAGTTGAGAAGCTGGAGCTAATCGTTGCCTGATATCGAGCGGGTAGGATGCAACGCGCAGGGGGACTGCCGCCGCTGGTGCCTGGACAGAGTCTCCCAGTCGCCTAGTTATTCGCTTTCTCACTCATTCTCTGCTCATCTGCTTTTGGGAGGTAAGTGTCATGGTCGCGCAGCTATCTTAGATAGCCTATCTACGCGAATTGCAGCATTGCCCTCATCTGTACGTGTTGCATTGCCGCAGTGCTCTCGAGCGTCCAATACACGATCAAGCTTTCTCCCGACCGAACTCTACGCAATCACGATCTGGCGAGAAGCAGCTCATGTTGCACTCTCAGCCCAGAGACACCTTCTATTCTTCACCTTCACTAGTCGCGGAAGACTTCACTTGGGCGGGGTCATGACCTACGTAGATCCATAATGATCCCGATTTCCAGACCGACTTGCGAGCGCCGCCTCACGCGTCGTATCAGTGAAGCAATTATCCTTCCATATTCGACACGTATTGTCCTTGCTGCCGGTAATGATAGTGTCACCTGAGAACAGCCATAAACACTTTGACGGGTATTCGCCAGGGACCTTCATAATTGAATGCACAACTGAAGACCTCGTCAGTGTGTCCCTCAAGCACCTGAAACACAGTTCAACTTGAACTGTTCAAGCCGCCGCCAGCGCTGCCCAGTCGGATGATCACCCGCAAGCATTCCCCGGTATTAGAGTCCCATACTCTGCACGTGTGATCACTAGCAGCTGTCAGAACTCTGCAGCCAGTTGGACTGAACTGGACCTACAGCTATGGCTTGGACGCTGTCTCGCTCTAAGAGCGACGCTCTTTCCCATCGTTGATACAGTTCTTCGAGGCCCAGCTACCTTTGAGATTTCGTTTTCGTGGCCCACCAAGGTAGCCACACATCTTCCCTTCTCAATATCGTAACTGCAATCATTCCCTTACTCTGCCCCACTAGACGTCCGGCAATCTTGACCCAGCACACGAAGCGAAACCGCTATTTGCACCAGCATCACAGTGCACAGCGGCGACACGCAGAGGTACACCGAGACGGCTCTCACACTCTCCCTGTCCCATCTGCGGAGGCGGTGGCGATCCTCGATCCGGTCGAATTGAAAACAACGTCGAGCACCTGGGCAGAGCTATGACACCTGCGAACGAAGACGACAGCTCCAACCTCATCCTGATGGCCCTTCAAGGTGTCCAACAATTGCCCAGTGTTGGAATCCCACAGCTTGCATCTGCCAGCTCAAAATAGCGCTGCTGATTGACGTCAAAATTCCATCGTACGTTCTGTCGATACTTCCAGTCACGATAAGCTCTCCCGTGAAGTCGAATTGCGCTGCCGCAACTTCTCCGCTGTGGCTCGCTAGGACCTACTTCCACAGGACACGTGAAAGTGGAATAGGGACAGTAAGACATCTACATGCAAGCACCTTCCGCTGGCTACATCCCACAGCCTCGCGGTGTTGTCAAATGACCCTGAGAAAGATATTCACGCGCGGTCCCGACGTCAAACGGATCCTCTATCATCTGTGCTTGGGACCGAATCCAGAAGTGCTCTTCTCTCAAGCAAGCTTACCCTACAGGTCGTCCCAATTGACAACAATGGTAGCGCCGCTCACCTGTGAGCATCCTCGTCCCCTCGGTGTTGAAGGCCAAGCTCACAATCTCCGCCGTATGACCCTCGAGTGTCGCAATAATCGCTCCTGAGGAACGAAGGAAGGGCCCAGTACAATATACTGCACACGCTATGCGAAGGATATTCACTATCTTCGCAAGGATTCGAAGATGGTGGTTCGAAAAAGATCCGAAGGTGGTTGGCAGCCTCAAATCTGCGAACTCCGCGGCCTCAAAACTTGCTGTCTCTCAAGGACCGCCAGATACTGTCGTCTCGACTTTCATTGGGCGACGAGCCACAAAGTCTCCGGCGCCCTTTATTGAACTATCAGTTCATGCGTCAAGCAATCTTCAGTATATTTATGATACTCCTCAAGAGGGATACGACAAGCGAGGGCGTTGCTGCAGAGCAGTAGCCAACTTGCCTGTGTCCACGGACCACAGCTTGGCTGTCCTGTCCATACTTCCCGTAGCCGCTACAGTGCCTGAACAGACCGAGCATGTCGACATACGCAAGATTCAAGAATACTCACCTCGAGGGCTGAAAGCTACGCAGACGATCTCGGTAGTATGGCCAACAAGAACGTGGAGACACTGGCCTGAGGAGTTTGATAAACATGCAACCAGCTTTTTCCTCACAGACCTTCATAACCCTAGCTCGAGGAGATAAGCAACAAAACTCAAATTCGCATTAACGACAACACTAGGCGAGTACGCGTCTTCGACCAGAATTCATCTCCATATCAAACGCGGCGAATTAAGAAGCATGCTAAACCATGATAAACGACAGATATTTCGCGCAGTGACGGGTTCCTCAACGAGAAGTACTACTGTCAAGAGCCTGCCACTGAGGCTAGCTTCTTCGAAAAGAATATAGCCTGGAGCTTTTACTGATATTAGGAGACAACTACCAACAGTTCACCATTGTTATTCTCCCTGAGATGTGCACGGAGCTCCTGCCCACCTACCACTCTCAGCATCCCAAATCCGCGCAGTTTTATCGAAACTGCCAGTGATTATTTTATCGCCGAAAGGATTATTGAAGGCCAAAGCGTAGACGACGTTCCGATGCCCCTCTGACAGAGGAGAAGATTCCAAGAGGCGGGTTCGAACCCGGGTCGGTCCATACCCAAACTCACGAGCTCATCGCCCGTCATAGTATCCCATACTCGACAGGTGCCTGCAGAACGACACTCTCGAACCTTAGATCCGCTGTCAGTGAGAGTAGACAGAATTCGCCGGGCGATGTGGCCGCCGTCTCGAATTCAGTATTTTGCCCTCATACCAACTCATTCCAGAATCTCCAAGCGACTAAATCCTGGCACCGAGCCCGCAGAGCTTCCCTGTGGGCGACTGTTAGTTCGGGTTTCGAGAGATTGTTGCTAAGCCTTGTTTTGCAAGTAACGGAGAGGATAGTATCTCCGCCCGAGCGGGACGATGTTTACGTAACGCCGATGAACCAATGGAGAATTAACTCGTGCTACTTGGAAACACACAGCCTCAAACGGCAGCATGAAACTCACGGTCGTAGCTCCCTGTGATGAACTTTGATCCGGACTTGTTGAACGCACAGTTCGTCAGCGGCAGGATATGCGCCCTGACACCAAGTGGCAGCAGGCCCGGGGTTACTCCTCTTACCGTAAAATCTTATACAAGTAGAACTTCCGAGATCTGTTGTGACCATCTAATTTGTCCATCAGTTTATAAATCATCTTCCGAACCACATCCTGAAAGTGTTCCGGAATGACAGCATGTCTCTCCGGCGCGTATCCGATTTCAATAACCTTGAGAGCCTTTAAAGGGCCTCTAAACGCCGAAACAGGCTGACCAATATGATAGCACGAGAATAATTAGACAGCTGTCGAATGATACTTTAAAAGTACCATTCGGAGAGGGTTCTACTTTCTTGCTGTCAGACAGGAGAGGTTCTTCGAGAATGATTTGATCAACCAGCGCGTCAACATCGGACTCTGGGCTCAGCGTCAAGAGATCGACAGACTTCGTCTCTATCTGAAGACCGAACATGAAAATACAAATCACGCTGCAACAAATAGCATCTGCCAGTGCTCCGCATGGTGACAAGGTTTTCGGCGACGCCAGTATAGGTTCAAAATTACATGACGCGACCCGGACAGGAATACCAGTGAGTTCCCGGCGACCACGTTGGGCTGCTACTATCACAGATGGGATACTTCACCGCTGCACAAACATTGTGATCATTGTAGTAAAGTGCATGAAGACTACTCTGAGGGCACACTAATTGCGTTCCTTGCGTACTTGAGAAAGAAGGATGGAAAGAGGGCTTAGTCGGCGTAGTCCATAGACCCATTCTAAAGTTCGCTGTGGATCCGCAGGGGATCCGAAGACAATTCTGCCACCCTATGGCCAAAAAATCTTGAGGTAATGAAAGCTGCGTTGTTACTCTAATGGTTACGCTAGAATCTGATACTGAATTAGAACTTAGAATTTCTATTGAATAATAGGTATTTTTCACTGTAACAACGCCCTAGCAGCGGTGCCTCGGAGCGCAGCGGTCGCGGTATGATCAGCCTTACATCCCCATTTCGTCGTTGATATTCGAGTATTATGCCCGGCGGGTAGTAGCGGAGTAGAAAGCGACGGAGTTTCATAGATCAAAGGGGGGTGGGTGAATGTCGAGAAGGGCGCTCAGCACTGGGAGGCGGTATCCGCACGGCAGCTGTTACACTCGACGAGCCCCACCCAATGGGTCCCAGCCGAACGCAGAAGGCCAGCAGCTCTTACCCTCTACGCCTAGCTCATGGACGACATAGAAAGGCGTAGCAGTCGGCGGCTGGGCTTGGGTCTCGAATGCACGATGAATGATAATGGTTGATTCAATCGATACTCCACTTTCTACAAACTGAACAGCAGTCTAGTACGCGAGCTCGAGCGAAGATACTTTCGCGGCAGCGCACGTTCCAGTGCACTTGAAATATAGAAGACGAATACACGGTGCAGCATCCAACGCTGTCGAATCGCGCAATGCC